ATAGAATAGAATAGAATAGAATAGAATAGAATAGAATAGAATAGAATAGAATAGAATAGAATAGAATAGAAATAGCCTTTATTGTTCCGCAGAGGGGAAATTCAGGTGTTACAGCAGAATCAGGACACCACTTTAAAATGGTTGAACTATGCCTTTAAACTCAAATGTTTCTTTTGTTGCTTCTCGTCAGCACTGTTTCTACAAAAGCGTGTGCCGTGTCTCCACAGGACTCACCCAGGCTGTGCCTCCTGTGGTGCTCCTGCATCACGTCTTTACGGTAGAACATTTTGTTGCAGATTTCACAAGAATAAAGCTTCTCTCCGTGTTTCTTCTTATGCTTTGACAGGTTGCTGTTGGTGGAGAAAAATCGCGAGCAGATGTCACACTGGAACGTCTTGTCGTCTAGACACAGAGAAAAAAAAAACAAAAGTCAAACAGGATCTGATGTGGCAGGAATGTGATAAACATCAGCAAAAAGGGACACAAAGTACAACAAAACTTTCACACCTGTGCGACAGTTGTGAAATTTTAAGGCATTTTCCAGGCGAAAGGATTTCTCACATGTGTTGCATTTATATTTGTAGTCTTGATCAGGCTGTTTGGAGGAAATGAAAATAAAAAGATTAATGAGCAGAAAGTGTAAAAACTTTCAAACAAACGTGTAATGTGACTCACCATGTTCTTGCTGTGCTTATAGGAGATGTGCTGCTTCAGGCTTTCCTTCCGGCTGAATAACTTATCACATTCATCACACTTGAACAGCTTATCACCTGGATGAATACAGGAAGCAACACTCAGATGAAACACACACATCTGTCAGCCTCTGTTAACKAACATTTAAACCCGCTTGATTCGACACGTTGAGAAGTCAGCATCCTTGAAAAGCACAAACTGGATTTTCTGGTGTGCACTCACCGTGGGACCGGATGTGTCTGTTCAGGTTGCTGCTGTTCTGGAAGACCTTGCTGCAGAGGGAGCAGCGGTAAACCCTCTTGTGCTCTCTGGCTTTGTGCCTCTTCAGGACAGGAGCTCTGTCAGGGGAACTCAGCAGGCTGCTGATCTCTGCTACCTCTGAAGCCCCTGGCTCCGACCACTTCTCTGGGGGCTTCACATCTGCACACGGTAGGAGTCAACAGTCCAAAACAAGTCCACAACAGGAAGAATGCATATACTTTAAGTATTGCTGTCTTTAAATAGTAGAGTCCCTGCTGCATGTCTAAACCTCTATTTCTACAATCTAGATGTAATTTCTCCAGCTCATTTCTCATACATGCTGTTTGTGACCTTGTAGTTGTGACCACACAATTTTGTTTTTGGCCTCAGCTTTTCTTAACCTCAGCAACCTCTACAATGGTGGAGGGATTTGTTCAATGACTAGTTTGTCCCCAAAATAAATAAATAAATCCCAGAATTGTTTCTTTTGTCAATTTGTCAAAAAAAGTAAGTAAGTAAGGTTCATTTATATAGTACCTTTCATAGATATGATAGTGCTTACAATAAAAGCAAGAAAACATTATAAAAAAAACTTAAAGTWCAAATTTTACTGTAAATATTCTAAATTTACATTTTCTTTAACAAAAATGTTGTAGGGGGATGAATCGCTAAATTAAAGATTCCTCTTTAATTTATATGTTTTTTTATAACATCGAAGCACCACTGGCGTTATTTAAGGGAAAAACGTCAGCAAACCCAGAAAGTTGGACTTAAAAATCAATCTCCCAACACCGAAAGAGCAAGACTTTCCAGTTTAGGTGACTTTTGGCACAATAGAAGACCAGACAAGAATCAAATTTCACAATATAACCTCTATTGAATGATTCAGAAGTAATTGCAGGTCATTACAGATAAATAACTTCTCAACAACTTTGTTACAAGGATAACTGTAACGTGACGTCACTTTTCAAAATGGCCTGATCCACTCATGAGCTAACACTACCAGATATACAGTATATTCTAAGCTATCAAAACAAAGGGGAGCTTGTAAGAAGAATGGAAATTGGTATCCACTCTGATCTGAMTTAAATTAGAACTAACACACCAGCAAATTAATAAAGCAAGTTCTCATTCATAGCATTTGTTTCAATGTCTCACTATGAGATATGCCCCCCTGCGGATTCCTCAGAAGCAAGTATCTCATTACGCCAATCCTGACTGGCTGGTGATCGCGATGCATGTGGCACCTACCCTTTAAGTAGCTTGCGCTATGACACAGCATCATTCGAAAACCTCTTCTCGCTTCGAGAGGCATATCTCTCTAGCAGACTAGCTTAACTGTCCACCGATTGCAGTGATTTGGCTAACTCCATCTACGGGTGCTAGCTGCGTTATCTTCAGCCTTCACCATAGTCTGGAGCACTTTCGCCATACAAACTTTGCTGTATTAGCATACCAGATAATACAGCCTTCCGCTTTGGGCTTTACATACCTGTTTAGCTCGAAACAATTTTGGTTGGCAAACCAGTGACCGAAATGGACTCCACTTCTCTTCACACCAGAGGAGGCTGCGACTCGGAGGCTCATCTCTGCGGCTGCGGGAACAAAATTTCGAGCAAGGATCCACACCAGGGGTGCTCGACGTGCCTCGGGCTGGAACACGCTCGCCTAGCGCTTGCCGCCCCGGGCTCGTACGCAAAGTCCTCCCGGTTCACCATGAAGAGCCTCCGCAGACAGCTAGCACGCCAAGCTAGCCTCTTCGGCAGGGACCCGTACTTGTCGACAGGCAGGCCGCCGCCCGTCACCGTCGACGAGCGGGAGGACGTGGACGCCGGACCAGGAGCTACAGAAAGATGGGGCTCCCAGCTGGAACTAGCCCTGGTGCCCTCGCCTGTTGAAGATGTCCTTGAGCTGGACTACGAGGACAACGACGAGATAATCTCGGAGCTCCTCTTATCAGAAGATGATGAGGATGATGATGAAGTCTTCATCCCAAGTGCTCAGGCTGCAAAGCCTGGCACTTCYTCTGTCCCCCAGGATGAGGAGAAGAGAGCGACAGCCTCTCCTGCTGTGAGTATGGACATGCAGACCGTGTGCAAACGCGCTGCCTCCAGACTCAATATCCCATGGCCTGAAGTAGCAACAGAGACCACCAGATCCCGTTACGAAGGGAAGAAATTGCCACAGGCTACTAGGACAGCGAAACAACTGCTCCCGGTTTCCCCGGAGCTGCTGGATGAGGTTGCGGTCTCCTGGAAGAACTGCCTGTTCAGTGGGAAATCTCAAATCCATGGAGCCTCGTCTCGGGACTTTGAGGACATGGGTAAACTAGGCATGCACCGCATGCCCCCAATGGAGCCACTGGTGGCAGCCCACCTGTACCCACGGCTCCTGACTTCACCCAGAACCGCCACACTGCCGTTGAAGGCGGACCGCTTCCAGTCCGCCTTGACTGAAAGGGCCTACAGAGCTGCWGCTGTCGCCGTTAAAGCGCTCAATGTTTCCTCCATGCTCTCAGTATACCAAGCTGAGCTGTGTGAGGATATGGCCACCAAGCAAGACCCTGAGGTGTGGGAGGAAATCACCGTGATCACGGACATCTGCTTATGCGTGCAGCGCTGCGCAGTCCAGGCCACGGGAAAATCAATGGGGAGGATGGTGCTGCAAGAAAGAGCAAGGTGGCTCAACCTGACCAACTTGTCGGACAGGGAAAAGGAGGACATTTTAGACAATGGCCACAATGGCCAGCGATGCACTGGCTGGCGGAGATTTATCAGCTCCTGATKGGACAACCATGGCAGCTCCCCTTATGGGAGGACATGCTGTCTCAGGCAGGGGGAACGGTTTTTCACCCACACCCAGAGCACCTAAAGTTATGGGCCTGCCCCGTGAGTGGTGTAATTTAAATACTACAGGGCTCCCTCAGGATGTGATAAATACAATCCAGAGTGCTAGAGTCCCCTCCACCAGGTCCCTGTAAGACTGTAAGTACAGGATATTTGAGAAGTGGTGCTCTGAGAGAGGACACCTTTCTTTTCGATGTCCATTTGGAGAAATTGTCATTTCTGCAGCAGCTGATTGACAAACAAAAGGCCTTTTCCACAATTACAGTGTACTTGGCTGATATTTCAGCCTGTCATGTAGGCTTTGATGGGAAAACGGCCAGCCAACAAACTTTGGTGGGCCATTTTATGAAAGGTGCACGCAGGCTCCTTCCAGTCTCCAGGTCCCTGGCTCCCCCATGGGACCTGGCGAAGGTGTTGGACGGCCTCTCCAGGCCTCCATTTGAGCCTTTGGATGAGGCAGATCTCAAACATTTGTCCCTAAAGACAGTGTTGTTGTTGGCCTTGGCATCTGCTAAACGTGTTAGCAATGTCCATGCACTCTCAGTACATCCCTCCTGCACCAGGTTTGGTCCAGGGGATGTCAGGGTCTCACTGCAGCCCAACCCAGCCTTTGTGCCTAAGGTGGTGGGCTCATTTTCTCCAATTATCCTTACAGCCTTTTCTCTTCCACCCTTCTCTTCATCAGAGGAAGAGCGGCTGAACAAATTTTCTCTGGTTCGGGCCCTACGTGTCTACTTGGACAGAACTAGTAGCTTCAGAAGAAGCMATCAGCTCTTTGTGTCCTGGACAAACCCTCATAGAGGCAAGCCCATCACAAAGCAGCGGCTCTCCCACTGGACTGTGGGAGCAATTGCGTTGTCCTATACAAGCCAGGGCCTTCAGGCACCTGTGGGTCTACGTGCCCACTCCACCCGGGGCTTGGCTGCATCCTGGGCCCTCTTTAAAGGGGTCCCTATTCAGGATATATGTGCAGCAGCGAGTTGGTCCTCTCCACTTTCTTTTGCTCGATTTCATAAGTTAGATGTTTCTGTTCCAAGTGTGGCCTCCGCTGTTTTAAACACAGGGTTTTCACTGGAACAAGATGAACACAATTAAGTGCTGGGGGTCGCTAGAGATAAGCTGTCTGGCAATARGGGAGTCTCCATATCCCATAGTGAGACATCGAAATGAATGCTATGAATGAGAACTTTAGGTTACATGCGTAACCCCGGTTCTCAGAGTAGCATGAGTGAGATGTCTAACCAGACAACCCTTCTTGCTGGGGTGAAGCGAGAAGAGGTGCTTATTCCGAATGATGCTGCAACATAGCACAAGCTACTTAAAGGGTAGGTGATGCATGTGTCGCGATCACCAGCCAATCAGGATTGGCATAATGAGATACATGCTTCTGAGGATTCCGCAGGGGTATGGGACCCCTGCGGGATAGGGATCCCATAGTGAGACATAGGGATCCCGTAGTGAGACATCTCACTCATGCTACTCTGAGAACCGGGGTTACGCAAATAACCTAAAGTTTTGTCCTACTGGTAAAGTTGGTACAGATGCCAGAACAGATACTTCTCTAGGTCTGGGCTGGTACTGAGGTCCAACCGAGTCGTTTCAGCTCGTTTATGAGTTCCCTGGTCACCTGGAAATCAAGGAGCTGCGTTCAAAGGAGACTTTGTCCAGAGCAATGCAGCAGTTGTCCCTCTTGCTGGCAACTGGTCGTCAGTCTTGAATGAAAATCAGCCTCAGCAGTTTCAGTCAATTTGAATCCTCATCCTGATAAACTCCGTCAAAGTAAAAAAAAAAAAAAATGAAACTACAAAAATAAAATAAAAGATAAAAATCTGCCTTTCTCGAGGGAGGGTTTAGCTTAAATTTCCCTCTGCTACCTGTTCTCTCCTCAGAAACTTTCTGACAGAATTAAAATGTCTGCAAGCTCTTTCCATTGTGTGGAATGAAAGCCTCTGATTGGCTGAAAGTTCACAATGGGTGGGATTAACATTCAAGGACATTCTTTAAACTAATCATAGAATCTGCTAAAAAATCAGGCTGAGTGGAAAATCGCTAATCCTATTTATTAATCTGTGAGTGGATCAGGTTATTTAACAACTGTCATGATTTAAATGTTAATTTAATCAGTGTAAAACAATCTCTTTTGATAACTCAGCATTTTCAGAAATCACCAGTCCATGATGCAATTACGTGCAATGTCCAAAGGAGTTCGCTGTTGGACTACGGATGAATCTCCTGGAATCCCTTTGAAGTTAGTTCTGTCCATTTATCTCAGCACCACGATGTCTCGTCACAGCAGGAAACCTGGCTGCAACCTTAATTCTGCAGACATCAAGT